ATCCAAACTTTTATCACAAATAAAGGACATTCTTGGAAGTATAATCTACTAAAAATCTCAATTTTTGTTAAAACCTTTCAAAGTATGGTTTTGCTGTGTACCAACCCATATTATATATCATATATATTAATATTAAACATCCAATATACAGTATATTGATATTTATTTTTTAAAGAAAAATTATAGTTTTATTAAAAAAAATTATCTATATTTACAAATAATTATAACATACTTTAATTAATTAATAATTTATAAAAAATCTATAAGTTGACAAAAGTTTACAAAAAAGACAATTAATTTAATATTTTGCTTTTTTGAATTACTTATTATATTTTTAATAAAATTGTTTATTAAATTAATTAAGAAGTTATAAATTCTTTTAAATATTTCAAAAATTCTTTTATTAATTATTGTTAAAAATATAACTTATTATAATTTTGTAAATTTAGCTCAAGAGTTATATTGAATGCAACTTTACGAAATTAAATAGGAATTTAAAGTTTGAACAAGCTTTAGTTCTTTATGAAAAATTTCTTTTGTAATTTTTTATTACGGCTTTATTAGTATTTGCATTAAAATTCGGTTACAGTACAATTAATTGAACAGAATATAACTTAACCGTTATAAATCCATTATTTTTATGTTACTTGTACTTATCTATACGTTATAAAAGGTGAAAGATAAAAATTTTTGAACAACCCTTTATAGGTATATTGTAATAATAAAAACCTTTAATCGTTTGTGTTGGTCAAGTTTACTTCTATTCATGGAAGCAGATACGTAACCTACGCAATTTTAATTTTTTCTCAATGAAAAATTTGGCTTCTTACCTGTCGATCATGTAACGTCAAATATCATTGACATTCTTCTGTATTCGTTACTTATAAAATGTCTTATTAATTCCTTTGCCTACACTTATCCTGGCTTATTATAAGCTTTAGAAAGCATTCATGTCCGTTAAATATTTCATTAAGGATTTGCCTAATGGCATTGACGGTCGCTTACTCAAGAACACTATTGAAGAGACATCTTCAACTTTTGCGGCCTCGAAATATACGAAATTTCACTCAAAAAAGTCATGTGTCCATTCGAGCCAATTAAACCTTTTTCAGCATGTTAAATTTTTACCGGCGATTATTTTTTTCTTTTTTGGTTCAGTCTATGCTCTTGAAGAAGGAATTTGTGCATCCAATCTAATTACCGAGTCAATATTTGACTTCTTAATCATTGCTATCATTCCAGTACTATTAACCGTTCAAGTTGATAAAAAATTAGAAGAGAATGAGTCATTCATTAAATTATTGTTATTCATTAATACCATTGTCAACTTGATAATCGCTGGGTTAAAAATTTGGTTCTGGGTCAGAATCTACAAAGCTACCGAAGATTTCTTCTTTATGATTTATTTCATAGTTGAGCTCTTCATATCGCTAGTTTTTCTCTTAGTATTTAGTCTTGTTGATGATGCATTCTATCCAGTCATTGTTAACGGTACTTCAATTTTTACCACAAATTTGGTTTTTCTTTTTCTGGCTGTGAAGAAGGACTACGTTGACGAGGAAACTTATTTATTTGTGTTAGTACCCGTTGTCTTATCATTTATAATTGGAGTTA